AACGTTGGTGTTATCGGCTTGGAGGGCTAGGGGGAGGGGGGAGGGGAGGCTCCTTCCGGCGCTCGCGACACATGTCACATGGGGGAAGAGGCGGTACACTGGTTCCGTGACCGTCGAGCACAGAAACAGCCTTCCTAATGCAAGGATCACAGAGGTGCTCCGCCACAACTGGAGGCCCTTCTCCCTCTCCTTCTGTTTCTTCTAACTAGCCCTCTGTTGCAGTTGCTTCACCAGCCGCCTGTTTCAGGGCACATCAATTAGCGGATCCGAGGTGTTTGCTGGCTGCTCTGTAGTCCACAGAAGCGAGTCCATTCAAGTTGGCTTGAACAGCGCTGTCCAGCAGTCAGGTATCATCTCAGTCTACTCTGACAGTCCGCAGTCGATCAGTCCAGTGCTGTCTTTCCAACAGTTCAGTCGGCCAGTTCCGTACTGTGTCTCCAGTCTGACAGTCCATTCAGACAGTCAAGTGCCGTCTGTCTCTTCATCAGTCTGACAGTCCAGCCAGCTCTGCCAGCTTATTGTGCCGTGCCGTCTATAAGTTAAGCGGACCAGCCAAGTCGTCTCGGTCTCTCTAGTTTGACAGTCAATTCGGACAGTCTGTTAATGCCTCTCCGGTTTGACAGTCCAGTCAGCTCGGCCTCTCCAGTCTGACAGTCCAGTGCTGTCAGTCTCTCCGGTCAGACAGTCCAGTGCTCTCTGTCTCTTCTGTTTGACAGTCCATTCGGACAGTCCGCTGCTGTCTCTCTGGTCTGACAGTCCAGTCAGCTGGGTCTCTCGAGGATCCTCTCCCGTAATCGGGTGTCGGAGCGGAGCCGACCAGCGCGGCGGGTCGGCACCGCCAGCGGTGTCTGTCACTCGGTCTGACAGCGCCACTTAGTCAGAGGTCCCACCTGCGGCCCTGCCTGACCCGCCGCTGACCCAGGAGGGAGGGGAGGGGAGGGGGATGTCCTCCGACACGGCCGGCCCGGCCCGTCCGTGAGACGTTATAGACGGCGACCCGGTGAATTGGAGTGTGTCACTCTGAGATCGGGCCGCGGCCCGGGCCATGGGAATGAACATTGGTCGATCTCGCGTCTGTTGGACGAAGATTTTGTATGGGAAACGTATTGCACACTGTCTGGTCTAACAATACGTACGAGCTCCTGTAATTAACAAATAGCAATAAATGGCAAAAATTGAGGGGACGAATGCAGGTATATTACTTCAACTATAAAATTACATCACACCATTAATAAGTACCTAATATTCTTTGAATCATTATGGCTAGTGGTTACCCACACAAGTGGTTATCTGAGGTGTAGTGATACTGCTGGGTGTGCAGCCGTCTGCAGATCCCGGCGGCGGTCAGCGCTCGGCGAATTATGTAGCCCCGGGCGCCCGTGACGTCACACACACACACGTGACCTGGCGGCCGGGTGAGAGACCTCACGCAGGCGGTCATCAGAGCAAGCAAAACAATCGGTTGGAGCCACACCAGCGCTGTAGGCTCGTATCTTCAATGTTGATATATGACTATATTCTTATAGTTATCATCCTACCGTAAAATGTGCCTGTTTAAATACGGACGTTAGCACAGGAGACAGCCGACAGAGAGCTCAGTGCCGCAGGGCTAATGGGCCTGATCCGGTACAATGCTCCAAATGCATCATTCTGACAGTTTATAGGCTGACAGAGCAGTTCACAATAGTGGGTTCTGGATTGAATGAATGGAGAATGTTCACTGTTCAGTGGCACTGTAATTCTTTACGTTGTGTTTGTCACTATTGTGACGGCTCATTTCGTGACAATCGTGATCCGGTGAACAGCAGCATTACGATCAGTCAAAAACACTGCACTTGATCGGCTTACCTCCCAGAAAAACACAGCCTTAACTTGTTTGGCCGAGACCGGGAAAAGTATCATTATATCACTTCTGTTAGATGTCCATTCCGAAGACAAAAAGCACTGCAAAACTCGCAGATTTACCGGCGAAAGCCGAACGTCCGGTTGCGTAAGCCGGCCAAATCAATACAAAGCCTGTCACGTTTTTACAAAAGCCGGGAAAAAACTTTGAACTGTTGTTGAGAAAATGGGAAGGCGAGCACCGCCGCTGTAGATGCACTGGTAAATAAGACAGTATGACACGAAATAGTTCATGTAGATGCACTGGTAAATAAGACAGTATATGACACGAAATAGTTAAATCGTCAAATTAAATTGTGGAGCTTATTGAATTTGTGTGAGTAAGTGTACATTTAGTATGAATTTGAAAATGTTTCAATGAGTGATCTTATTTAATATTTTGCTTCAGGATCACGGCTGGTAACACATGGGCCTATGGACACCGACTTGTCAAAGCCAAGCCGTCTACATAGTCCAATAAATGATGTGTACTTTCATTTCGTATACCTCTTGCAGGTATATGCTGTCACTTTGGCGATAAGAGCAACGATATGTTCCCCAAGCAGCGGCAGATCACGCCCAAAAATAATTTTCTCCTTAATCGGTGAGCTGCCATTCATGGTTCGGGTCTAATGGCTTATTCAGGATTAACCTTTAGTTTTTGTCGTGCTATCCGGCCTTCAAGGCCGGCTTAATGAAGTCATTTGATTTTCGCTGAATATTTGGGCTACTGTCCCGGCTTATCTTTCAGAAAGGTAAGTCCTGCAGCATGACGTTACTGTCGGATAAATTCCAACACTGTCCATTCGCTCATTTATCACAAAAAGTGCAAGCAACATGACATTTCAGGTTACAAAAAAGTATTTGCCGCTGTTGGTAACTTGTAACTTGCAATGGCCGGTGGAAGGCCGAGCATAAGGCTAGCAACCGACTAATACAGCTCCTCTCGGCCGCTGGGAAAATAAATTTGCAATCCGTTCGTGAAATAGATTTGGCAAACGTGCAACCTGTGTTACTCTCACGGGTAACTATGTGACGCATAACTGTCTGACAGGAAAGGCAATTCGAGGGTCACCTGATAACCAACTGCTGATACGGAGCTCAAGTTCAAATGGCCAGGCATATGTTCAAAACTCTGCATTCGCAGAGAAAGATGCAATTCTGCATCTTTCGTTCAGAATTTGATCTGAAATATCAAGCTCCATGCGCAATGCCAGGCCGGCTGTTCACTTCCGGCGCTTTAGCCCTGTTCTGTTCTCTATTCAGTCACTCGGGTTTGTCTGCTCGGTAGCAGGTCGGGACCGCCTCAATCAGCTGCTCTCCGGAGTTCCGGTCACACGCTGCCCCTGACCGAGGAATGTGAACTGCCCAGTGTGGGCGGCCCGCCGGCGCCGTGCGGCACCGGTCCAGACCAAGTCACGCCCAAGACGTCTGCAGCTCAACGGGATAAACGCGCTCGTGGGATAGTGCCGGCATTGTAACTGTAAAACCACGTGAGCAGGCTCACGAGCAACCTTTGCAGAGTGGCGCCTTTAGGTCATTTGGTTGCTTTCCACACGCGATTAAATCTTAGCTAGGTGTAGTTTCTTTCCTCGTGAGAGCAAAAATGAAATACGCAGTATGCAGCTTGATCTTTTATGCCCTTGCTACTGGTCGACATGGCTCTTAGTTTCGTTGTACCTTGACGAGTTAAAGAGGATAGGCAAGTACAGTTGTGTTTCTAAATAAGTAGATTAGTACAAGTATTTTGAAGTTTGCCGCAATATGACGTTTTTCGTAAACAGTTTTGCATACTAAGGCATGTGTCAGTTCCCATCCTTTGTAAGGATCATCGTCAGCCTCTACAACTTGTATGTATGTAACTATGTATATTGTATAGTATATGTATTGCGGATCGTTGTGGGTTCCAACATGCGGTTGGCTCTTTCTCCCACAGAGTCATACATTGTCACAATCATCCACAGACATGGTCAATGGTCAATGGTCGAATGGCTGGGTTATAACCTGCATTACAGGATGTTCGGAAATTATTTGCCCCTCCATCAACTCGCCGCCATAATTAATAAACAAGGAGCCCCCGGGTCATGGTTTATTTACCAATTTATCCCCTGCCGGCCCCTGTCCTACCCATTCCCTCATCCGCTTTGGCATTTCATAGATCAAGACAGTAGCGGCGGAACACCTTCAATTAATGGGGGGGGGGCACTGCCGACTTTTGGTCCCATTCTTTCCATGCAACGCCCATAGGGCTAATGTTAAAATGCCAAAATCAAAGGGGGGCACGGTGCCCCGGTGCCCTCCCCGTTCCGCCGCCTATGGATCAAGATGTCCAGAGTATCCGCGCTGATGTTCAGCCACACCTTTCACAGGTTCCTCTAAAGTCTGTTTTCTGTGGGAGCTGGTTCAATCTTGCTGTGCTCCTCCTTCATGATTTCCCATAGGTTTTCGATTGGGATTAGGACAGAGGATTCGATTTGACTTCCTACTTCATTCCATTCTTCACCATAACTTCAGCGTGATGACGCTTCGTCAAAGAATTTTTTTCGTCATAGTAGACACCACGTCCAGGTGAGAGTTAGGTACGCCTGCCAAACACTGGCCCCTGGCGCCTCGCAAGTCTCAAGTACAGGTGACCGGGTTATGTCATATGTCTAACGGACAGCTGTGGATGGCCTGAGGCATGGTCTTAGCAAATTTTTTAACGGTTCTTAAAGCGCATGGTGGGATTTAGCTGAATGAACCAGGGGCAAATAATTTCCGGACACCCTGTTTTGGCTCTGGGACCTTCCAGCCTATGGGTTAGAGAAGCAGCACCCATTGAGGTGGACTGACTGTGTACCGAGGCTGCAAATTATGTAGACAGAACTGACCGTGAACTGAACTGGACTGTCAAATGCCTTATAAGGTAAAAAGTACTAATTATTCTACACGCTCTCTTCACTAAATTTATATAACCATTATTTTACCCTCCTTTTTGCATTGTAGTTTTCAAATGCTTATAGAATGGCTGTAATTGCTCCTCTAGAAATGCAATAAGTGTAAAAGACATGATACGGGATTTACGTAAAGGACCGCTTTAGCCGGAAGGCATAACCGGTGACCAGCGAACAGCCGTCATGTCTCTCAGCCAGTTCAGTATATAAAGGAAAACTGGCGACAAAGCAGCCACACACTCATCTCGGCTTCCCAGGACAATAACCCAGACACCGACATGAAGGTAAGCAAAATTACGGTCGAGTATCCTGTAACACTTACTGATACCAGGTCAGGTCACAGAGGTCAAGTCACTGAGGGTACCAAAATATGAAAATATCATGTGCTGCATGTTTTATGGTCCATTTTACATGACAACTGAAATCATGTGGGTCAGACAATCTTTGGGGCCAGTAAAGGTTATGTTCTGGTGAAGGTCAGGTCAAGTTCAGGTCAAATAAGGCAAACATTTCAAACTTGATATTTTTGCATAAAATGGGTATTGGTTCGATGCAGCTCGTCACGGGGAGTCTAATAGTGGTTTTGTTTTGCGTTACGTGCTCTAAAATTGCTAAAAATTGAGTTCGAAAATATGACGTCATCAATTTTGAACAGTTTTTTCGCTATAACTTGGCCAAAAAAGGAGGTTTCGATCTAAAATTTGGTATGTAGATTTTTGTGCTCGAACATCACCTCAGTTTGACTTCAGTAACTTCTGACCGATGACCTATGGCTTAAAATTGTGTATGAAGGTGTCAAATTGATGTCTAAAAGGTACTGAAAATTTGGCCGTTTTTCACTATTAAAGAAAAAACACAGGGGGCCAAAATGCCCCCCATCAAGGCGCGGATTAAACTGGCGAATGTACATATGAACTTTGGATAAATGAGCAACGTTGTGTTCGACGAGGCATTTACTTGATTTAATACTTTGGATTAGGTAGTCGGTATTTTGACGTAATTTGTTAAAACAACTTTAAAATAAGCCTCATTTTTAGAGCACCGCTACAAAATGATGCATCATTCCCCATTCCCCATTCGGCTTTATTTGTGTCGCTAACCATAACCTGTGTGTTTCCACAGCTCGCAATCCTCTCCTGCCTGGTGGCTGCCGCCGCCGCCATGGGCGGCCGCGGCGCCGGCTTCGGCGGCGGCTACGGCTCCGCAGGTGGCCTGTTCCGCAGAGGAGCCTTCGGCCGCGGCCTCTTCAACCGCGGTCTGGGTAACTTCGGCTACGGCTACGGAACCCAGTACGGCCTCGGTAACTTGGCCTACGGAAACCAGTACGGCTACGGAACCCAGTACGGCCTCGGAAACCTGGGCTACGGAAACCAGTACGGCTACGGAAATCTTGGCTACGGAAACCAGTATGGATACGGAAACCTGCTTGGCTTCAGAAACTTCGGTCTGTTCGGCAACTTTGGTCCGTACGGCGCCCGTGGGCTCGGTCTCGGCTACGGAAACCAGTACGGCCTCGGAAACCTGGGCTACGGAAACCAGTACGGAGGCTATGGCCGTAGATTTGGCTTCCGCAACTTTGGTTTGCTTGGCGGCAGTGGCTACGGAGGCTATGTTCACTAATTATTGTTTAAAAGGTCATGCGAATAAATGATGTTAAATCAATGAATGTGTGGCGGAATGACCCGGCTGGAATTCGCAAATGTTTGTCCTACGTCTCAATTTGCATGGAGCACGCTCGAGTGTGCGTGTGTGTCTTATTGTAATTGCAATATATAAAGGCAACACCAACTTTGGTATTTCGCTCTAAACCGGCGGAGCTCGGCTCTCTCTCTCTCTCTCTCTCTCTCTCTCTCTCTCTCTCTCTCTCTCTCTCTCTCTCTCTCTCTCTCTCTCTCTCTCTCTCTCTCTCTCTCTCTCTCTCTCTCTCTCTCTCTCTCTCTCATGCATACTGTTCGCAGACTGAGCCAACTGTCTGTGGACTGGGCCTAAAGTCTGTGGACTGAGGGGACTGGCCGCGAACTGGATGAACTACTGCAGGATTGAACGGACTGCCGACAATCGAGCAGTCTGTCCACATACTGAGCGGCACCGACTGCCGCGTTTGAACCCACCTGCGGCGATCAGCGCTGCTGTGAGCAGTCCCAGCAGGCCGCCGACCACCAGTCGACGCGCCGCCTCCATCGCGCCCCTCCGCGCCGCCGCCGACGGCCGCCACACGTCCTCCCGTCGGTACCGACGGAGCACCACTGTCGCCATCGACGGGCCGGCGCGCGACCGCCTGTCGGCGTCGGCGCTGACTGGGCCCGGGCCCCGCACACCGCCCCTCACGGCGCGTGTCTCCGCTCCACCTCCAGCCCGAGGCCAGTTCCGGCTTGAAGATACAGCCGGCAGGATGAGCCGGGAGACAATGGGCCAATTAGATCAGGGTAGCGGCGTGGGGCGGCACGGGTCCGCCGTGCTGAAAGTGACGGTATGGTGGCGCCCGTGGCGGTGTCTCGGTGGGTCGGCGGGTCGGTGGACGAGGGGCAGCGGAGAGCCCCGCCGGCCGGAACGCTGGCTTAGTGAAACGGCAATCGGCCCGGCCGGACAGCCTATAAATCGCGCCGAATGGCGTGTGGTTTCCGCACCTTGGACCACCGAAATTGCTCCGTATACGGCGAAATGGCACGGGAATGTGTCGCCGGAAAAATGCCGGTGACCCGTCCCTCACAATACCGGAGACTAGATGGCATTATTAATGTGACATCTTTGTCTTGCTGCAATAAGCTGGCAACATGACACGGATGTAGATCAACATAAATATTTCTCAGAGAGGCAGAAACATAGCGTGTTTCGCACACAAATCATTCATTTATGAATAGTTACACTGGTTGCAGTAATTTACACTGCACAAATGATATAAAAAACGCGATGTTTTTATTGTTTGCATTGCGCTAAGCACAACGAACTTACGTACGACAGCAGCCTCGGATATTTTTGGTAGCTATATGCTAAACGCTTCTTGCAAGTCAAGTTTATAAAGATTAGACTGCCCAGCTTGCACAACCTGTCGCGCTCATATATGTAGGCAATTTAGCGTCGCGCGTTTTGGAATTGATTTGTTGCATGCGTGATGAATGGCCAATAACGGCTCGAATCGTTGCTCATATGTCAGTGCCGTGGAGGGGCGGAAGCGGCCCGACCGGCCGAGCCTGTCGATGGCAGGAGAAGCCGCCGACCAACTTGAGGCACCTCCTTCTCGTAACAGGGCGTTCCAATGCGTTGGGAACTTGTATATTTTTTTGCGTATGATCGTGCATTATAACACTTGATAATAGTTCGCAAACTAATCTAGTGAAATGTTCAAACCATAGGTCAGTCGCTACAATATGAAAATATCCCACATTTAGACAAACATTAATTCAATGTACGTCGATTAAACTCTTTTAACGGACGACGAGTGGTTTCCAAGAATTACCTATTCGTGTAACCTTCATATGTACTACTGTTCTGTTTAATCCCAAAACACGCATGATGCGCCTAAAATGTCCGCTCCCAATGCCTAATGACCTCCGACTAAGTGCTCCGCTAACGACGACCGGCCACCGTCCCAGCAGCGGCGCCGTCGTCACAGAGCCGTTGGACGTCACGTCTGGTAGCAGAGCGGTGCAGAACCAGCCCAGCCCGGCTGAGTAGGTTCCGGGGCAGGGCGGGCCGAGAGCGCGGCGGAAGTGGCGCAGCGCGGCGCCGCGCCCATTCGGCGCCGCCGGTAGAGTGGCGCAGAGGTCACCATTAGGGATCCCAGATAGAATGGAGCTGAGCCTGCAGACGAGCCGAGATGAATACGACGCTCGGCGCTGCTTATTACTTCATTTTGTGGACAGTTTATCACCGGCAGCACCGCCGCTTAGTTCGCTGCGATGGTTCCACAAGGTGGAATAGTAATTCATGAGATGCATGATGCTTCCTAATGTAGTTGATTCAGGACACTGCAAGCGAACTAATATCCACAAAAAGTAATGTTTGAAAACATTAGAACAGCATATCAATCAAAATCAAGGAATGGTATCACAAAACGATTACTTGTAAATTAGCCTTAGAATTGTTTCGGCAGGCAAAGTTAACAACAACGGCAGGCAACGGCAGGCAAAGTTCACAAGTCTAATTTAATATATATGTAATATGTATAAACACAAGTCTAATGAATAGGATATGATAAAAAAATAAAATACTTACTGTAGTCGGCAGTAGCTAACCCGCAGAATAAAATCGGCAAGCAGATGCCACTCGGTCTATTTACTTACGCGTATCATGCGATACGCAGAAGAAAATACAGCGTGGCCCATGATGGCTATTGCCTGTTCTGCCCCGCATTATTATCATTAAACGAGGCTTTGGTTTTGAGTAGTTGGTGAAATGATCCTGTGTTGAAAGTTTTCAAGTGTTGGATAAGGGCATTTACATGTTAATGCTTTTGTGCACACATTACAAACCGTTTGACCATAATTTTGGCCCTAGAATCAGCTCCAGGATGAAACGTCAGCTGCGGCCGGATGCGAGTTAAAAGAACAAATAATCCTATTTCCAAGTGATTGAGCTGGAAAAGCCCCAAATATTTCAAAGTCTAGCTTAGCACGGTTAGACAGTTTTCAATTAAGACCGAGATAAGTGCATCACTTCAGTTGCCGGTCTGCAAGAGCTATAACAAATGTCCTCTTCTCACACGAGTGAGCGCACTTCCCTGTATGTGGGCCTACGGTTCGTTTGTTACCTATTTGTAACTGACAGGGTCTGAAAGTTTACCTTAAATGTCATCAACCATAAAGTGCCACCTATTTTGAAAGGATTTCTTGCCGGACTACATGTATAAGATTTGTCCATATTGATCTGCCTTACACCCTACACCTTGCACCACCAAATGGGATACGGCAGTGTCTCTCACCGGAGCCCACCGAATCTCCAGAGAGATCGACACGGGAAAAACGGACACCCCATGCACTTACATAACGGGAAGGCTGCCAGGGCGGCCCTCGGCGCTGCGGTTCTGCGTCGCTGATGAGTTATTGTGAGGGATTAGACGCTGTCAGTGGCCGGTAACACGGTCTATACACGACCGGTGAAACCAGATTATCCGCGCTGCATTGTGGGAAGTAACACGCCAATAGAATCGCCGAGCCACTTATCATCCTATATTGTGCGGTGCTGCTTCCGAATGTATCTAAAAAGTGTGACATCTCGTGGCATTAATTGTCCGCTGTTTGTCCAAATATGCGTCACAAATTCACTCGACGACGACAAACCTGGGTGGAGATCCAAGGCGGTTATAGATAGCTGACATCACTGAGTGACTGATGAGAAGGGGCAGAGAATTACATCTTAGGTAAGCACATGCTCGAACTGTATTCTGTGCGGATTTGGTATAAAGGCCTGGCTAAAAAACGCACGCAGAAAACGCATAGTGTAGCCAGGCCTTAAACCTACACCATTACAATTAACGGACTACTCGATAGTTCAAAGGCCGCCTCAATAGAAACACGGTGTCAAGAATGATACAAAAGTTTCGGCTAAACTTGCATTATGCAGCTCCATTTCTTAGCTGTCTTCACGATCGTAGCTCTCTAGTTTCGCCGTCTGCATCATCGCAGCTCTCTGGTCCTGCGCTGAGAGCCGTCAGCCGAAATTATCAACAGAATCTCATTTCCCGCGGAATTATGCTGCGTGTTGGGAGCGGCGCGGCGGTCTGGCGAGCGATGCTTCGTCCCCCGGACGGCTGGCCGCACCTGGCACTGTGTGTTTGTGCTGCTGTTCTCCGGCCGTAAGCCACGCCACCTGGGTTGGTAGATTAGCATGGGGACGGTCTGAGCGCATGGGGAGAGTCCGTGTGTAGAAAGCTACATGGGTTCCCAAGTCTTGCTACTTGTTTTCGTCGGTTAAGCTCAAGTAAAGAGCAAATGTGGCGATGCTGCAAGATGATGTGCGATTTCATAAGAACATAAGCTGAATACAATACCAGCTAAATACCATATAATTTACGTATAGCACATAACTTACATACATATGTAGTCTTTGACACAGAGAATGTAAAAAGCACATTTTCCTCGAAATGCACATTTTTCATTACAGTAACTTAGGTTTTCAAAGATTGCTCTCAGTCCTGAGAAAATACAATTCTTGGTTTTCTGGTCTCTTCTTATCAGCTTATATGCAGTGTCTCAACAAACCTTGCGGCCCTCTGCGCGCAAAAACAACGGCCGGCATCCCATAAAATATCACAATTCACCAGCAACGAACTTCTGGCTGACCTTGCACCTGTCAGGCTCGCTTATGCTTTTCCGTCGGCACGGCACTGGAATTTCGTCGGGCGGGGCTGGCTGCAGACGGGAAGGCGTGACCGTCAGCGGCCAACGCACAGCCGTCGTGTCTCTCAGCCAGTTCAGTATATAAGGGAAAACTGGCGGCAAAGCAGTCACACACTCAGCTCGGCTCCTTCAGGACGACAGCCCAGACACCGACATGAAGGTAAGCGAAATTCGTATTCTTCATGCATACAAGCAATACGGATCCCACGGATTGGCTCCTGAAAACACCACATTGAAACGGGTGAACGGTGAACCCTTTAGAAATATATCCCTTGTGCAAGTTTTGGGTTTCAAGCTCCATACTCAGATGGGTTTTAAAAAGATAGTTTTGAAAGTCGCTAGCTTTGGGCAAAACTGATTTGAGATGCAAAGAAAGCAAATGTTCGTGTATGACTTGACGCAAATAAAGACCGTGAATGTCTTCGACTACAGGTCTTGTTGTACCTTGGAAACTGGACGCTGACAAATACCTAACTAACGGCTATGAATCCCAAGCAACAACAGTGCAATTTCAGGTTAAATTGACATTGAAAAGGTTGTTATTGCCTGTAATCATTAGCGGTATAGGTAACCCTCTATGTACGGTTTGGGATAAACTTGCCGTACAGTATGAACTCGCTGTTGAGACTTTAAAATCAAGCTCATTATTTTTCTTTAGCATAACACCAACGGCTCAGATCATTCCACCTAGCATCGCTGACCCTGACCTGTGTGTTTCCACAGCTGGCAATCCTCTCCTGCCTGGTGGCTGCCGCCGCCGCTATGGGCGGCAGCTACGGCGGCGGCTACGGCTCCGCAGGTGGCCTGTTCCGTAGAGGAGCGTTCGGCCGCGGCCTCTTCAACCGTGGTCTGGGCAACTTCGGCTACGGCTACGGAACCCAGTACGGCCTCGGAAACTTGGGCTACGGAAACCAGTACGGCCTCGGAAACATTGGCTACGGAAATCAGTACCGATACGGAAACCAGTACGGCCTCGGAAACCTGGGCTACGGAAGTCAGTACCGATACGGAAACCAGTACGGCCTCGGAAACCTGGGCTACGGAAGTCAGTACCGATACGGAAACCAGTACGGCCTCGGAAACCTGGGCTACGGAAGTCAGTACCGATACGGAAACCAGTACGGCCTCGGAAACCTGGGCTACGGAAGTCAGTACCGATACGGAAACCAGTACGGCCTCGGAAACCTGGGCTACGGAAACCAGTACGGCCTCGGAAGCCTGGGCTACGGAAACCAGTACGGCCTCGGAAACCTGGGCTACGGAAACCAGTACGGCCTCGGAAGCCTGGGCTACGGAAACCAGTACGGCCTCGGAAACCTGGGCTACGGAAACCAGTACGGCCTCGGAAACCTGGGCTACGGAAACCAGTACGGCTACGGAAACCAGTTTGGACTCAACAACTTCGGTCTGCTCGGCGCCCGTGGGCTCGGTCTCGGCTACGGAAACCAGTACGGCCTCGGAAACCTGGGCTACGGAAACCAGTACGGCCGTGGATTTTTCCGGGGTGGTAGGGGAAGTTATGGTTCCAGCTACAGTGGATAAACCTTCCGTTAATAACTACCAAAGAAAATGATGCAATTACTGACAATGTGCTCACAATATTTGTGACCCTCTATTTCGCCTGTACTGAAAAACGAGTGTGGTTGTGTCCCATGTTATGTCCTAATATGTGTGCTCAAGCAAGTGTTGTGGTAAAATACAAATTACTGTCACAACCACAAAAAGTCTGTCTGAACGAAGCTCGATGCGATTTTTCTTCAATTTTGCAAAACATTCGGGATCGTTGACTTCTTGCGATCGTTGGTTCTGCAGTCTCGCTAACGTCGAATTGCCATAATGAAGAAATTGTGTCATTTTTTGCAGTCTGGTGGCGCCAACGAATGTCCCTTAGGTCTCAACAAGCTGAACAATACCTAATGCCAAGATTTTGGCAAAATTGATTCACTCAAATTTCTAATTGTGCCTTTTTGCACAAGCCGTAACATTTCGCATTTGTCATTTACAAAATTCACCTACTAAGTATTTATATCACGAATAAGCCTTGCCAATGGCCAGTGATTAATTCAAAATGATGAACCGAATGGCTCCGGGTCATGTGTTTTAGCTCACTTAAGACTAGTTTTCCATCAATAATTTCCCGTGTTAAAGCGGCCGATCATAGCGAATTCGAGTTAATCAATTTCACACCAACTCTTAAAAATTTCATGACCCTGACCCAAATGACCTTTTACCCGTGACCTATTTCTCGAGACCATGTTCGGTCGGAATCGCGATTCGGCGTATGTCGGCTCGCATTAGCCGCACGTTTGCAGTCTTCTCGTGGTTTCAAGCGTTCTAATATGTGATGTGATGCTGGTCCCATGTATTAGGGTGGATGTCAAGGTCAATTGAAGGTCAGGTCATTGACCTTCGATGACCTCGGTCCACTTCTTCGAGTTTTACATGTTTCCAGGCTAGTTTTTGGAGCTGAATTTAAAGTAAGCAACCATTTGAACATGATATTCGTGATATTCGCGATCATTAACCCGCTTCCCGTTGGGCTCTGCCGAGCAACGCGTCCTGTTGGGGGGGGGGGGGCAATTCCCCCCCCCCTAAGATCTCGAGAACCACGCAATCTAGCGACAAGCGGCAAACGGTGTTGGATAGCTCCATCAGGGAACTACCTTGTGACCCAATTTCATTGACCTAGGTTAAACTGATGACGTCACAGGTCAGGTTAAAGGTCGAGTTTTCACCGTTTACAGGCATTTCAAGAAATGCGTTGTACAATCGAGTAAAAAACATTTCATTGAAAATCATCGATGGGGAAATGTTCTTCAAACACATATTTTGCTATATGAGGTCACTGATACCAGGTCAGGTCACAGAGGTCAGGTCACTGAGGGTCACAAATTAAAAATATCATGTGATGCATGTATTATGGTCCATTTTATATGCCAAATACGATTATGTGGGTCAGGCAGCCTTTGGGGTCAGTTTAGATTATGTTCTGGTGAAGGTCAGGTCAAGGTCAGGTCAAGGTCCCGTAGGTCAGTTGGTAGAGCGTTGGACTCCGCGTGGTGAGAGCACGCGTTCCCGGTTACAACAGTCCGGGTTCGAAGCGCGACGGGCGCTTGACATTTATGGGCCTCCTGACAGGTATGGTTGCGGTTGGTGGCAGGCCGTAGCCAGGTGAAGTCAGTGACGGGACCGGCCGTGCGCGGCTATGTGCGCACGTTAAACTTTGGACTCTAAATTCTGCCATAGACCTGGAATTGCGCGATCGGAGGGTAGAGGGCAGGGTCACCGCAACAAGCTTCGCTTAGCGGTGGCTCTGTCCTTGTGAATCCTTCCCATCAAAAGGTTCGGACTAAATTTATAAAAAAAGGTCAGGTCAAATTAGGTCAAATTTCAAAGTTGATATTTTTGCATAAAATGGGTATCGATTCGATGCAGCTCGTCACGGGGAGTTCAATGGTGGTCTTTGTTTTGCCCTACGTCGTCTAGAATCGCTAAAAATTGAGTTCAAAATTTTGACGTCATCATTTTTGAACAGTTTTTTCGCTATAACTTGGCCAAAAAACGAGATATCGATCTGAAATTTGATATGTATGTAGAAGAGCGCAGGTACTATCACATGTATACCAGTTTTTTTTCGAAATTCGGAAATTTTGTGGATTTTTTTTTTAGTTTTTCCTTAAAAAATCATTTTTTTGAATTTTTGGGGGTCAAAGACCCACAATTTTGAAATCCGAGATGGCAGTTTTGTAGCGCCGCTTTTTGTTTACATGACCATTTAAAGATCTTCGAAATTGCTTGGTAACTGTAGATTTCGTGAGAGTTTCAAGATTGCATGTTTTTGCTCATTTTTGCTCGAACATGACCTCAGTTTGACCTCAATAACTCCTGACCTAAGATGACCTAAGACTTGAAATTGTGTGTAAAGGTGTCTAATTAATGCCCGGGAAGTGCTGAAAATTTGGTGGCGCTGCGCGCCGCCGTTTTCTTGTTATTCAGGAAAAACCACAGGGGGGGCCAAAATGCCCCCCCCCCCAACGGGGCGAGGGTTAACCCTCGCCGGCACAGGTCATTTTGCGTCCTTTGACGGCACAAGGGGCCGGGGGTTGATTGGTACGACTTTCCCCTCACGTTTGGCCCTTGATCGAGCTAGAGCTTCGCGGAAAACACGAACGTGCTGCCCGTGACGAGAGGAAGCCGTTGATATCCAATTTTAAGGTCCTAGGTCATTGGTTGACCTTCCAGGTCAGGTCAATGACCCAAAAGTCGGGAAAATCGGGACCTGTTAAAACGTAGTAAAGTGTGGCTGCTATGGGATTTTTCGGGGTGCTGATCACGAATATCATGCCAGTTTTGATCATAGATGATGTCTTCATTCATTTAGGCCAGGTCGGGTCAGGTCAGGTCAGGTCAACTAGTAGGGGTCCTGCCGGGTATTCGTAGTAGGTATCAACCGCCTCTGACAGCTTCGTGACATGTTACGAAGGCAGCAAAACTACTTCATAAACGTTAATATGGTTGATAAATTCGAATGCAGCTCGAAAAACTGGCCTAGTAACATGTAAAACTCGAAAAAGTGAACCGAGGTCAGCAAAGGTCCATGACCTGATCTGACCTTCAGGTAACCTTGACAACCACCCTAATGCATGTGGGCAACATCATATCACATGTTTGAACGCTTGAAACCACGAGAAGACTGCAAACGCGCTGCTAATGCGAGCCAGCATACGCCGAATCGCGATTCCGGCCAAACATGGTATCGAAAAGTAGGTCACAGGTCAAAGGTCATTTGGGTCAGTGTCATGAAATTTTAAGGGTAGGTGTAAAATCGACTAGCGCGAGGGCACCGAAAGTTTCGTCGCGATCGGCCGCTTTTTACGCGAGTTATTTGCGAAAAACCGAGCGGGGGTCCGTTCGCCCCCCCTTCCCCCTATACAGGCGAGGGTTAATATTGGTGGCGCACGCTTTTCGTTTTTAAATTGACCATTCCACTTGAACATTAGTTTTGAGTTGAGATTGCCCAATTGGGGTACCTGTCCTGCACTTACCGGTTTGGGTACTCACAACATCGAAAATTGTTTTAATTCGAAGATATTTAATTTCAAACTTGCAGTTTTCAGATTCTAAGGGGCTAATGCATTTGAATGCCCCTTAGAATTTGTGACGCCGCTCTAACAATTTTTAAATCTTGTACTTATACCATCGGTGAAACGTGGTGGGGTGGCATACACTGCTTTGCTAGCAACATTTGCCGCACTTAAAGGATGCCGAATTATTGCTTCCAAATGACGTCGTAGAAACAGCGGACGTCCCAAAAAGCAAATAAAAGTAAAGGTGCAATATCTTGAAAGCCAGTGAATATTTTTTCAGTCAAATTTGGTAGATATTCATTTTCATCCTTCACAACCACGGGACATCATTTGTATGCCAATTCATTAACTTTTTTAAGGTTGGAAGTGGGAACTGGGAGGGTTCCTTTAACCCGCAGTGCGGGCCGGTGTACTCAGTGCCAACCGCACGGGGCCGGCTTCCGCCCAACTCGTCTCCTGGGACACTTAGCGACACGCAGTGAGCGACATTCAAAAGAGCGTAAAAAAAGCATGACAAAAGCACAGCGACCTTTTTTTGGGTCACAAAGGTCAGTTCACCAGAGGCCAACGAAGGTCAAATTTTGCCTTCTCAACATCTTTTGACAACTCAACACAAACTCGGGGGCCAATAGAACTACAGCGCTAAAGAAAAGCGCATTCGATATACTCGTAACTCTTTTAACCCGCGCATGACTGGTGAGGGGTGGGGGAGGGCTCTACAGAGCCCCCTTCCCATTTTTCGGCAATATCTTGCAAGCCGTTTAACATATGAACACGAAACTTGTGGTATTTTCAGCGGCATTAATTTAATATCTTGTGCCCAAAGTTCAACGTTCTAACTTCTAGCTACCATAGGTCGGCCGAAAATGACGTTAGAGTGACGTAATGTCGGCCGATTTTTTATGCAAAACATTGAAACACGGCAATCGCTCTCAAGAGTTCAGTTTTTAAGCTAGATCTAATTGTTTTGCATTAGTGGACGTAGAACACACGTGGCTATCAAATTGCATTCTCGGATTTTTATAGTTTTGAAATTTTGAAAACTATGTCCATGCAATTTCAAAACATGTAATTTTTTCCTTTTTTTTCAAAAAGCTTTTGACTCTTCGCACAAACCAGAATAGGTAAATGTAATAGACCACCCACCGATAACCTACTCTAGAAAATTTTAGATCAATGTCTTCAAAAATGGCCAAATTATCCGCATTATAGTAAAAATTTCACAAATATGCATATATTTTTCCAATCCTTTTTTCCAGTACGTGTTTGACATTGTATACAGCAATTTAAAAAGCACCATCGTATTTCTGAGCTCAAAATGCATCTGATAGGTACTTTTTTGTTGAAAAAAAAAATTCATTTTCAAAATTTGACCGTTTGTTACCTAAACGGGACCTGACCTCAGGTAAATTCAGCTGAAAAGGGCCCCAAATGACACAGACATTTTTTTCGAAATCATTGAGTAAAATGGACCATATAACATGCGTCACGTGAGCGATACATGACATACAATTTTCGTCACGTATAGGTTACCTGGCGTTGACCTTAAAATTTCGAAGTACAAGTTCGGTACCCCCAGGGTATCTAAGGCATATATTAAAGATTGCGTAAACCAAAAATGAGTCTGATCGGACTTG